CACCAGAATGGGAGCACTCAGCAACTATGTCGGAACGATCGTCGACCAAAGAGTGCGCACCAAGTTGATGGAGCACGCTGCTTTTCCCGTTGGCTCCACAAGGATGCTTTGCTAGATGCAATTGCTCAAAGGGGAGGTTTAGGGATCTTAGTTGATCTATTAAGTGGTTCGCGCCACTACGGGTGGAATCAATTTTGCTGTATCCAGCGTATGAAAGGATATGGAACTCAACCCTATTGTTGGCTGCTAAGATTATCTTATTGAATTTATCAATTAGATGTTGATCAAAGGAGCCTTGTGGGTTTAACGCTTGGTCAAGCGTGTCGTGCCAATCGAGGCAAATTTTGATATTGCCAGGCACTGAATCTACAGGGGCAGAGTGGGGAGCGTGCGAACCCGAAGGTGCACTTGGGGCTCCACTTGACTCTTCACCCCGCTGCGCCACAGGTGCGGCAGCAGCCCCTTCTGCCTGTCCAGCAGTTGCTTTTGGCTCTGTTGGATCTGTTCCCAAGAATGCCTTTCCACTAGAAGCTTGCTCCTTCAAGTACCCAGGTGGCGCCTTATATGGAGGGTGGCCAGGAGGTGCTTTTCGAGGGAGTCCAGGCTTACTTGGTGGGGCTGGAGCTGGCCTAGCTTTTGGCGGAGGAGCTCCTGGTCGAACACCCGGTGGGGGAGCCTTATTTGTTTTGGCCTTTGCAACAGTGACCTGAGGTGTGCCGGAAGCAACAGCCTCCCTAGCAGTCCTTTTTACGGTAGCTGATGACAATGGCTGAGAACTTGCCCTCTTCGGTGGAGGGGGTCTCAATGGCTCCTTACCACTTTTAGTGGGGGATCTACCTCTTAGGTTAACAGGTGATGAGCTATGTTGGACTGGTTCAGAGGGTGTGGATGTTAAATTTCTTGGGGATCTAGACCTGTCAACGGCACCTGTCGCGCGGGATTCCGCAGCGACCCCACAGGCAGCAGATTTTGGAGATTCTGCCGCAGCACCCTCTTGCTTTCTCCACGGATGGACAATGCCCTGTGGGAACCTAAGTGAGGGCTCTGAGGTGTCTTTTGGCGACGATGCTGCTGATTTTGGGTCTTTATAATCCCTTGAGGTTATTTTTATGGTTACCTTTTGCCTCTTTGGGGGTGGCACTTTAGGTGGTCGCGATTCAAAAGCTACTGGGTCGGCTTCAATAGGCTCGGCGCTGGCCGCTGCAATGAAGTTCCTACCAGTCTCTTGAAATCTTTGTGACGCCAGTGCAGGGTCTTCTGTGCCTTCCTCCTCAGTGTCAGGATCACGTGTGGTCAAATTTACAATGTCCGAAGACTGCAAGTTTGGGGTGACCAACACAACCCGACGGGAGCTCAAGGATGGATTCTGCCAGGCGGCGTCCTCCAGCTCGTAAGGGTCAATGTCCCTAACGTCTCGAGCTTCAGTTCCTGGAACTATCACAGGATGAGCAACTGGACGCTCTGCAACTGTCGCGACCGAAGGTCCGGCGACCCGCACCCAAGTTCCTGCTGAATCTATTCTGGCGTCTGGATAACCAGCTGCACGGAGTTCACGAGCAAGCTCAATCTGCTCCCTGGCTTCTCTAGACAAAAGATTAACAGGCAAAGGTGGGTTGGACCTATTTCTTTTGGTGTGCCTCTCCCTTGGAGATGCAGTTTTGGCAACAGGTGCTGGCTCCTCCTCACTTTCAACCTCAAAACTCTCCTCCTCTTCCTCCTGATTCCCTACCACTGTCTCGCGCGCCTTGGCAAAAGCCGGAGCTCGCGCAGCGAGCTCTTCTGGTGTTGGCGGCGGATGTTGTGGCGGCGGTGGAATATTAGAAGGGACTACAGGTGGTGGTGATGATGGGGGTGATGGGAGCTTAGCCTTAGACAAAGGGTTTACAACAGCTGGACTACTGGGAATCTTAGGGACTACTTCACTTATTTGGGTAGTATCTAAAACCTTTTGCGCAGTGGCTGATGCGTCGTGTTCTTTGGGAACAACGACTCCTTTGGGTTTATTAGATTTTGGCAAGGGATTTACAACAGGATCAGCTTTTGGAGCTTCAGGCACGGCTGCACTTAATGGAGCACTACCGGATGCTTTGGCTGCAATCACTGTCGTGTCGCGTTCTTTGGGAACAGCGACCCCTTGCTGGTGTTTTGGCGGCTGCAAAGGTTTCGCAACAGGCTCAACCTTAGGAACTTTCGGAGTGGCTACACCTATTGGAGCACTACTGGAACCCTCGGATGCAATGGCTGTTGTGCCGCGCTCTCTGGGAATAGCGACCCCTTGCGGCTGCTTTGGTGGTGGTGGCGAGGGCTTTGCCACAACAGGTTTATCTTTGGGGACTTTTGGGGCTGCTACAATTGTTGGAGCACTACCAGAACCCTCAGATGAAACTACTGTTGCGTCGCGCTCCTTGGGAGCAACGACCCCTCGCGATTGCTTTGGCAGCGAACGGGTGGACGATGATTCGTGGACACTACCGGGCTCGGACTGCTGTACACCTTGATCTGCAGAACGCAATGTGGGCTGCCAGGCAGGTGCTGGCACCTTCGGCTGCTGTGCAGCCTTGGGCGGCTCTTTGGGTTCTGGAGGTCGCACAGGCGCCGCGCCACCAGCCGAAGCCGGGGCAGCGGCCCGAGCTTTGGCTCTCGCGGGAGCGTTGGGGCCTACGTATCTATTATAATAATCCCAACTTTCTTGAGGAGGAAATTCACTACCCAAAATGTTAAGATTAATGATACGTTTTGGAGGCAACAATCTGGCTTCTAGTGAGAGGCGGCCGTGTCCTACACCACGTCTTCGGTCTAAACCGTTGTGTTGAGCCCACTCTTCGTATTCAGGCCAAAGATTAGATGTTAAAATTAGACACTGGGTTGTGGTCAAATAGTCTACAATGGCTTCGTGGTTAGCGACTTGCCACTTTTGGTCAATGTCAACACTGTCCAAAGGATATCTACCTAACCAAAAACCACGGCTTGACCTTCCCCCTGTATTTTGATACAACCAATTCCTAAAAGTATCCAAGTCACTAAACCAGGCCCGGATGGCTTCCTGGTTCCTTGTGGTCTGCCCACCACGCGAACCCCTTTGGCGAGTTCGCTGTCTTTTACCTGAAGACGGTGCAGAGGGAGAGTGACCGGTACGAATAGGTTCAACACCAGGCTCAACTAAGTTGGGGCTAGTGGGTGGTGCAACAAAATCAGATGTGCCTAATTGGTTATTGGGTGTCGCGACAGCGGAAGTGTCGGCGACCCCAGGTTCTGTGGATTCAGCTTTCGGATTAGAAACTTCTAGGGCTCCTATGGGGGCTGAGTCTACACTTACACCTGGGGTTTCTGTGTCTACGACCTCAGGCTTAGCGGATGCACAGGCTGGTTCGGATGCTTCTTGGGATCCTACTGCAACTGGCTCTACACTAAGACCTGAGTTTTGGGTCTCAGGTTGGACGGATGCTGCAACTTCAAGTGGCTCTGCTGGTGGGCCTTCGGCTTCCACTTCAGCTTTAACAACTCTTGCGGCAATTATGTCTTCACCTAAGTTGGATGTTTCGGTACCTTCCAGTTGATCTGCAGCTTGAAAAACTATCTCAGCAGAGGGTGAACTAAGTGGCTGTTGATCTTCTTCTTGTTTGCAAAGTCCTAGATCGTTATTGGCGCGCTCTTCCAATCCAGAAACTTCAGAAAAAGTTATTTCACCAGCAACTCTGTCCGTCGCGGCGTTGTCGCCAGCGACCTCTGCTGAAAAACCGTCAGCTACAGGCACCTCGCTTGTCGGCTGTATGATCTCCTCCCCAACCTCACCTGACAGTCCTTGAGATTGTTAGGCTTCGGCGGGATGTTCAAGACCAGATGACCGCACGGATGCAAGGACCTCCTCAGAAGCGTCTGCCCAGGAAACGACGGGTCTGGTCACTGCTTCCACAGTCCAGGGAGCAAGCTCAACCTCTCCTGCGTCCGCTGTTCCCTCGCCCTCGTTCGCTGGAGCTTCGGCTGTCGCGCTAGAATCAGCAGCGACCTCCACAGGCACTTCTGAGGACATGCAACAGTGAGCGAAACAGTGCGAAAAGTACCAGGGGCCTAAACCAAGTTATGGACGGATTAGGTTACCCTTAAAAACCGGCTATACGGCTGATAACCAGTGAAAACAGGGGGACGACCGGAACAACCCAAAAGAACAAGGGTGACCTAATCCGTCCATAACCCTGTAAAAACGACCAAGCACCTTTTCTAGCAAAGGCACTTGAGCCAAGCGTCGATGGCGCAACAAGTTAAACCCGACCCGGTCGTTGTAGGGAGGGGAAAACTAAAAGGTTACCCATCTCTAACTACGGCTACTCTACCTACCTATAGAACAAGGTAAGTGGTGCTACTCTAGCTATTGAACATACCTAACGCTTCTAGGTATGTTGGGATACTCTGTACAGTATGCCATGCTAGAGATAACGAATTGGATTAATTGGAACTCGTAGCTACATCGAATTATGTTGGTACTCATAGCTACATTCTGCCTACACTAGACCTACCTGCACATGCTATACATGGTGGGGCTCAGGGGTCGATATATTTCAACTATGTATATATATATATGTATATATATATGTATGTATATATATATTATATGTATATATATATATGTATATATATATATAGAGAGAGAGAGTGTGTGTGTGTGTGTATGATAATAATAGTTGGATAGATCGTAAAACCAAGCTTTACATGGTATTAAATGTGATGAGATTGAGGTACACAGGAGTCTTAAGTTTGAAACATGGTGGATGTAACATTTTGGCTGGGATGCGGTATATCAAGCAGCCCAAATTGACGGCAACAGCTGTACCTCGATTCGGCTCTTCCAGTCTTAATCTGGGCAAAAAGGGCTGCCCAACATGGCATCACCAGTAAATTAGGCCTCATATTCATAAAACTAGGCCTCATATTCACAAATGACCAGCATCTACCAGCCATGTTAGGCCCCTTTTTTTTGGCTATCCTGGTGTCAGTCGCCACGCCTCAGCCTCAGCCTTGCGATCTCTCAACTCACGCGCCAGACCACGAGCCTGGTGCAATCCGGGGATGCCGGCTGTCCCCATCTTCTCGATACTATACACACTTGTGTAGGTATATATAATAGAAATAGAAATATAAATAGAAATAATATAGAAATCCTATGTTGATAAGTTGATAAATCCATTTTGTAGTTTATATTGGTTTGCTATAGTATACCATGGCATTGGGTTCTTTTTTGCATTCTCCAATCTAAGCAAACCTTTCCCAAAAAAAAGGGAGCCCCCCCTGCAATCGATGCAACTGCAAAACATCGCCGGCCGTGCTGAGGAACTGAGTCGCTCAAGTTGGTTTGGATGATTGGCTTGGCTTGGCTTAGCTCGAAAATGGGATTCCTCATGATGAAAGTTTCATCAAGGCATTGCGGTGATAAACCCATGGCTTTTCGGGGACAGTCCGACCATTTTGACCCGACCACCCATCTTCATCTTGGTTGTGAATAAACCCTTTTGGCTGGCTATGTCCACATTGCCTTTGGTTATACCCCTGTCATTGCAGACTACGACCCTCTGATTGTTGGCCATATGCTTCTGGGTATATTCCATTACTGTTGATAGTAGTTAGATTAGATCCCTCAATAGGTTCTACAACAGTGACGCTGATATTCCCAATCTTTGTCAATTAAATAGGATGATACCGCAAACCTTCATCGTTGCCACCCCCACTTAACATGGGACAAAATTCCAGCAACTTGAGTCCATACACAATTTTCTTTCCAATATATGTCCCATCAGACTGGATCTAAACTCCTGTTCAAAGAAAACCATGTCCCCATGACATCCTCATGATTTGTCTGGAAATGTGCATCCAAAATGATGAAATTCTGATTTCCTTTGAGGTCATCATATGATTCAGATGATCCAAAATCAGATCTGCTAGAAACTTTAAACTGCTTGGTGGTTGAGCCAACCCCTCTGAAAAATGATGGAGTGAGTAAGTCAGTTGGGATGATGAAATTCCCAACTGAATGGCAAGTCATAAAATTCCATGGTTCCAAACCACCAATCAGATATTATAGAACATATATACCATCCATTAACCATCCATTACCCATCCATTAACCACCAATCAGAATCAGATATTATAGAACATATATACCATATATATACCATATAAATACCATCCATTAACCATCCATTAACCACCAATCAGTTCTGATTTCATCATTTTTCTTCCAGTTTTCATCCATCCAAATCCCAGCTGCTGGGCCTCCTTGGCAGCCCGCAGGGCATTCACGGCATCACCCTGTAAGAGCTGAGCCTTCACCGCCTCAGAGATCATCGAACCAAACCAGAAACAGAATTTTTCTGCAGGTAAATCATGGTAAATCCCTCTGGTCATCTAACCTGGATCCTAAAAGAAAACTTCAAAAATGATGATGTGCCACCTTTTCTGTTGGGGGATTTCAGAGGCTTCCCGAAAGCCTGAAATCCAGGTCTGTGGGTCTGCACTTCTGCCCAGTCGCCAAGTGTACCACTGCAGCTTCTTTCTTTCGATCCTCCCATGTGCCCAAAGGTGCGAGAGGCATCATTGGAGTTCATCTTGTTTTACTTTGGGTGTTCTAAAAGTTGGAAAAACATACGTTTCCTCCCTGGCCATCGATAGTTGATGAACATTGATGAACCAATTGATGGCTTTCCTTGGAAGATGTGGATTCCAAGGCGCTGAAAAACTCCACAGTTTGGATTCCAAAGTTTAGGATGTTCATCCCAGCCATCGCAAGCTCACAGCACCTAACCACGGAACCGGGATGTCCTTCAGCTTCTTGTAGTTGGCTTGTGCACCATCCAAGGCCTGACAGAGGTTGGTTGACCCCATTGGAGTTCTCAATCGGCTATGACAAACACCATTTGTTCAAAACGTGTTCCACTAGGGGTCCTCTACGAATCGTTGACTCTCCACCGTTTGTGATTTCAGGAACAAGTTCCTGTAGCCTCCATGGAATCTGGAAACATCCATCCCAAGGATCTCAAGTTCGCAAAGCTGCGACGGCACCTAAGCAAAAAAATTGTCCTTGTTGCAGGTGGCAATATGATGTCCATTGATTTCCACTAGCTATACACCCGTGCATGTTGGTAATGAGCGATACCTGTGCATGTGCATGTGTGAGAGGGACATTGTGGAAAAACAGACAACAGGATGGCACCATTAAAAAAGAAAGGCTTTCTTGGCTATCTATCCATCCATGCATCCATCCATCCATCGATCTACCGATACACCTATCTGTCCATGTATTTATGTATGTGTATAATGTATCTATATATATATACACATATGAATATGTGTATATATATATGCTAGCCCACCCCCCGAGATCCACTTTTGAAGCTGTTTGCAATGAGTTTGAGCATGTATATTTACAAAGTTTGGTGTTTTTTGAGATTTAGATAAAGATGGTGTAGGGCTTATTCATGAATCTGATGTAGAATCTAAGCAAGTTTTACAAGATATATATTGCTAATCAATATAAGCAAAATAAACATGTTACAGTAAAAAGTAATGTGATTGGTTTAGATAATGAAAAAAGTAGAATCAGTTTAGGTATACAGGGAACTAAATCTGGTGAAACTACTACTTTGGATAAAAAACAATTAATTAGAATAACACCTATTTTTTACTTTAAGAAAAAATGACAATAGTTCACAGATAAGCAAATAAAAGAAATACCTAAAAATAATACTTCTCTATTCTCCTAATGCCAAAAAAAATGCCTGTGCATACCACTAATTAAAATGATAATACATAATTAGTAAGACAAGAAAAATTTTCTTTAAGTAGTATCAATTACAGAAAACATATAGCAAACATATTTAGTTACCTAATCTTAATAGCTATATAAGTATTTTTTAAAAAAATAAGTGTTGCAACTGAGTTGTTAAACCTAGTATCACCTCTATTGCTATTAAAACTATTATTATTGTTTCAAGTTTACTGGAAAGTTTTACATTAAGCTCATCGCTAAGTATACTATATAATTTTTCTACTATCATTAGTCTCTTATTAAGTATATTTTGCCTAGATTGCATATCTTGCAACTTTGCTGTTAACGAATGTATTGGCTCGTAGTTAGGCATTTCCAAAAAACCTCTGGTATATCTAATACCTCACTATGCACATCAATAGAATAGTTCTCTTGAAATAAAATCCATATTTTAATTGAAATCTTTTTTTTAGATAAAGAAATTGCACCTTTTCTTGCAAGCTCTTCATGTATTGGTTGAGTGTTTTCTAGTAACCTTTCCACAGAAATTTCTCAAGAGCTTAGTTTAACAGATTGAGCTAAAGCGTAAGATATAGCAAGTTTAGTAAAAATGTTAATTTGATTAATAATTATGAAGTCGTTTTCTTCGTCTATAGAAATAGTTGAATTATCTGATGAGTACAAACATCTCATCATCTCACGTTCATATAAAATATTGTCTTGAGAAGAAGATAACCTGCGTTTTATATTTCAAAAAAAGGTATAAAAAATATGTTCTTTGATTATGGGTACCTCCCCATATCACTACAGATCCAAATTTCCAATAAAATACGTCTACTGTTTCAGTATCATATTGTTGAGAAAATATACAGAATCTTCTATCTTGCGTGTTCCTATATTATATTGCTGAAAATACTGCTCTAAGCTTTTCATATCATATGATTTAGCATTACAGTACCCATAACAATGAAACATTGCTTTATTAATGCTGTTACTGTTAGATATGCTATCACTATTAGATTTTATATTATTAGACATGAAAACATTGTATGTATAAACTAATGTATTTATATAATATTATAACCACTATTTCTTTTAGTAAAATAGTATTGATAACATGTAGAAGTTTATTTATGTGCAAATAAATACATAAGTATGCTAATAAAATAATATAAAAGAATATATACATTAAGCAAATGCGCCTTTACTTTGTAATTACAGCAATATTATATTATCATTTTAAAAAAAATGCATATACTATTTTTTGTAAAATGAACACTAACTAAAATTAAGATATTCACTAATCAACATTTAAAAAATTGAGTAAAATTACTATTGTGTTAGATATGTTTATTATATATAATGTAAGCTCTATTACAAATCAACTGCATATTACAAATCTTATATAATTAAAATAGTAAAGAACCATATATATATATCTACTATAAAATTTACACTTACATTTATAATATTAAATCAACATACCAAAATTCTTGCAACTTGCAAACATATTGTTTACTATGATCACGTTCCTGAAAGGAATTTTCTATAAAAAATCGCAATTTTTTTGAAAGCTTGTAATATGTAGAGAATGACAATAACCCCAAAACCTCAAGACCAAAAAAACAAAAAACACGAAACTTTGAAGAGACTTTTTGGTTTAGCCTCAAAAGTTTTTGGTTTTCCTTGTGTTTTTTTGGTTTTTTTTGATTTTGAAATGCACAAGGTTTATGGTTGGAGAAAATCACCAAAAACCAAAAAAAAAGTTTTTTGCATTTCAAAACCAAACAAAAAACAAAAAAAACACAAGGAAAAAACAAAAAAAACATCTTTTGAGGCTAAACCAAAAAGTCTCTTCAAAGTTTTGGTTTTTTGGTTTTTCGTTTTCAGGTTTTGGGATTATTGTCATTCTCTACATATTGCAAGCTTTCAGATATACCAAGATGACAAACAGGGTTTATATTATCTATGTGTGTGTGTGTGTCTTATATATATATGTATGTGTGTCTTGAAGGACATGATACAAGAGGCTTTGAGGTGTATCTCAGGGGTTTACAATATATATATATATACATACATATAAATATATATATGTACACATATAAATATATACACATATATATATACACATACATATACATATATACATAGGGTCAAGGCTGGGGGTTCCCCAGAACTTCCAGGAACCCTCAGTCTTGTCATGTACTATAAACGTCGTTATTGTATAGAGATGGGGGGGTGGGGGGAGGGTGTGGTGTAATAACGTCATGTGGAGCGCGTTGGATTGAGAGTTGTTGAAAACTTGAGGATGTAGCCTCGTTGAAGCTGTTGTTACTGCGACTGCACCGTGAGAAGACCAATGGTGCTCTCGCTCCAAGCAACTGCTTCAAAAAACCATTGTGGACGTGAAAATGAAAAAGGTGTGATGTTCATTTCGTCCATGGTTCTCCAGTGAATTATGACATTTTCTAGTTGTCAACAAAACAACCAAAAATGCATGAAACCGCAATTCCAATGGTTTCGGTGTTGCACACGTGTTTGGCCATCCATGGAAGATGTAAATTTATCATTTTTCTGCGCGGACAAACGTCAAGTTTATCCGCGCCGACATTGCAACTTTTACTGATCGAACAATTTGAGAGAAGAGCATAAAACAGTGTAAAACACAGTGTAAAATCAACATTTTCCATATCCATACAAATAACATGCAATTGGGTTCCGGGGAACCCCCAGCCTTCACCCTATACATATATAGATATAGATATACATATATATATACAATGGTCAAAAGTGATATATGGAATATGGTCATCCCACCATCATGAAAAATTCTTTACAACGGGGTATATTCTGTTTGAATCCAATACGGGATGACCGTCATCTGAATTAAGGCAAGTTTGGGATAGCTGCCCAAAGTTGCCCCTAATAATATCATCATTTCTAGTGATATACAATGATATACACATATATACATACATATGAGAGGGTTTCTTGAAATGATGCTCCCCCCAAATCATCCAAGTCATTAGACACTTTTACTTTCGAAAGCCCGCTGCACCTGGATCGCTTCAGCCGGTGCCTTGATGTGAAGGCATACCTGGCGCTTACAACTTGATGGTTCGGCGCTCAAACACATTTGTTGAGGATGCTATGGTAATATAGAAAAAAACATCAGTGAAACATGAAAAATTGCTCAACCCCCACTTCTGGTCAAAAATGGGATGAATGTGGTACAAACATCGATCCCAGAATGGAAATCCAAACATAATGGGTATACAAATCATTCTAAGTCCATATGAAAATGGTTTGATGACCATCCCCCTTTTTGTGAGCAACTCACCCAAGTCTTGAACGTTTGACTCAGACCATTGCACATAGCTGTTGTGAAAAAAAACACCCTTACCCTCTGGTAATTTAACATAGCTATGGAAAATGGCCCATTTACAGATGATTTCCCCATTAAAACCTTCATTTATAATAGATTTTCCAGTTCGCTAAGTTAAATCACCAGATGGTAACCACCCAAAAAACCACCGTTAACCATTGCAGCGCTCAGTTTAAGTTTCACCGGCGGCCTTGGCCACAGCAGAAAGGGCCGCGGCCTCGGCCCTCAAGTTGCCCAACCTGGCGCGGATGCTTCGATGTCTTGAAGTCATTGGCAAAAAGATAGCCATGATTCAATGTAAGCTTAATCAATTGTCATATACATGATACACCCATGATATATGTATGATATGTGATATATGTATGATATATGTATGATATATGTATGATATATGTATGATATATGTATGATATGTGTATGATATATGTATGATATATGTATGATATATGTATGATATATGTATGATATATGTATGATATATGATATCTGCATGATATCTGCATGATATATGTATGATATATGTATGATATATGTATGATATGTGATGTATGATATAATGTATGATAAATGATATCTGCATGATATATGATATCTGAGCATGATATATGTATGATAGATATATGTATGATATGTATGTGATATGTGCATGATATGCGCATGATATTCATGATCCCAACGCAATGGTATCATAAGATTTGAATGTTGACGCCAATTTTGATACCATTTTTTTTGTTTCATCATAGTTGATATCACATGATCATGTATTTGGCAATTGTCATTGCCACGGAGGCTACAATTAGCTATCATAGCACCAAAACAATGGCATAGATGACACAATGCAATCGGGATACAAGCCATAAGATATGAAAACAGAATCCGGCAAAACTGTTGGAACCAATGAAAATAGATAGAAGATCACAGAACGGGATAGAACCTGATGACTGCCTGGGGAGATATCAGAACCTGATTCAGGTCTCTCCAAGAACCAGCCTCTTTGCTCGATCATGCGCCTGCAGAACTGGTCAAGCATCATTCGGGGGAGGCTGATCTTCCGTTGTCATACCGGAACAAGGGAGGCAAGCCCAACCCAAATCCGGGAATTTGTGTGATTATGTGATTCTGCGCACATTTACTTTTTACAGCTACATGTATAACGTAAGTAAGTACCTTCTAGTGAAGTTCTGTGCAAATCAGCCATTACCGAAATCGCCAGAACAACATCCAGCAACCTTTCTTTTGCCCCCTCAGCTGCCAGGAATCACCGGTAGCTAAGTCAGTGGAGCCTCAAACTGAGCCTTCTGATAAGAATCTGGTCATGTTTTTGAGCACTCCAAAAATGAGAGCAGGATCGGAATACCATTCCCAGCAGTCAATGATTTCCCGGCTCAGAATCAGGCATTTATTGTGATAGATGTTGAGGAGATGGAGCAAAAAACACTCCATCATTCCCCATCTCCATCGCAGCGAAAACATCGATCCATCCCCATCAGAACTGGCCTCCTTCGCCGCACGCAAGGCTTCGCTGGGTTCGGCCTCGCCATGGGGATGTTTCCCCTTCAGTGGCTTCCAGCGCCACAAAGGTCGGTGGGCGAAGCATCCAAAAACCATCGTTTTTTCGATGCCAACAGTGGTGGAAAACAAAAGAATATTGCACACCAACAACACAGAGTGTGACCTCATGGGGCGAGTCTCTCATCTTTGGACATCTCTTGTAATCAAACTAGGCAATAGAAAATCCCACTGCCAAAGGCATCCAAAGGCTAGAGTACCCATAGGTATAGATATATCCATGTATGTGTTCTCTTGCTATATATGATATATCATATCACAGTATCTTTTAGTAAACAGTATATTCTACGTTTACATTAGAAAAACACGCTCCCTTGAAAATTGTGCATCAGCAATTTTATTGATGATGCGTGTGTGTGTGTATGCATATATATAGGGTGTATATATATATACATATATATATACATATGTATGTAATTCTACATGTAATAGTGTAATTCTACATTTATTTCTACATGTATAAGATACACATAGACATCATTTACCTCTGACCGACTGTCGCTGGTTGTGTTTCCCTCCGCGTAATGACCGAGTTCCCCAGGCATTTGCCAAGCGTGCATCCACCAGGGTGCCGAGGGCAGCCTGGAAGATATTCACCATGGTGGGTATCATGGAGAGATTCCCATAACTCCAACGTATTATATATATAATATAGATAGTATATATCTATATCTAGTATGTACTAATTCATATATATCTATAATATATACATAGATCAAATTGAGAGAAATGCAGATAGTCTGTATATTGAAATACACATATCATCATATGTGTATATGATATGTATACACATATAGTACTAATCTTACTTGTGTATATATATATATAGAGAGAGAGAGAGTGTGTCGGTGTAGATACGTATATTACATTAACGTCACTATAGATTCATATATATATATATACATGTGAATACATATATATATATATACATACATCTGGGTACTGTAAATTATAATAATTCACTAACCTGAATTAAGGCCATATATATATATATATATATACGATGATGTGCGTGTGGATATTCATCTGGATGGTGATTTCAACATGTACCCTGCATGGTGGGTCTAATTTTCGCATGTGGAAGCCGTGGCCGGGTCGACAAGGTCTGCAACAAAAAATCCAAAGCTTTCCACAGCTAGGAATAGAAGAATGTATATAATGTACATAATATATATATGTATATACTATATATATATTATATGTTATATATATATATTATATTATATTATATTATATATATTGTTTATATTATATATATATTATGTTATATATAATATATTATATTATATATATGTGTGTGTGATAAATAAAAGGTATGACATAACTATATATAGATATGGATATAGATATAAGCAGGTAGGTAAAATCTTCGAAACCACCAACCATTCAAAAACATGTGTCACCATCAACGCACGTTGCTCTGAAAGGGGCCCCAACCGCTTCTTGTACCACCAGCCCTTCAAAGCGTGCATAGTCCTCAGATGCCAAGAAGCTGGACACCATCGACGATTGGACTCCCCGAGTCGAGCTGGATGCTTCAACACTAAACACACCCGAATTCTGTGGTTTAAGTCATTTTGCAGCACCATTTTTTCCAAGCTTTAGCTGGGTACAATCCTTTTGTTTTTCCAAGAATGGTGCAAAAAAGTCCATTGGTTCGTCATTTTCCCTTTTACCACTGGCAATGTTGAGGATGTAAATGCAATAATACGCCGTCACCAATATTACTAGAAATAGGTTGGATTCAAATCATCCCAATTTGCCGTTAAACAACGGCAGTGGGTTAGTTTGCCACATCCCCATTGTACTTGGTGGCTCATCCCACTTACTAAGTAGGTGATATCCAAGGTTAGAAGTGAAATAAGTAGGGTTAATCCATTTATAACTAGGGTTATAACTTAACTTGGTTCAAGAGCTATACTCTGTAGAGGGCCTAGAGGGTATATACGTATATACATATAGCTTCCGCATTTATTTGCAACATATATGGGCAATCTGTGTCACATATGCCTCCACAATTGTTTTTCACAAATGCGCAAATGTCCGTAAGATCTGATTTTGTGGAAAAAAGATCTTACGGACATATATTTTATGTCCGTAAGACCTTATTTACGTAAAACAAGATCTTGAAGCTTAAATGAAAGATATGTAATACATAAATGTAATGTATATGTAATGCACATGCAACTGCAAATGTGTTCACAAATGTCCACATGGATTTATGTATATGATCATGTCCGCCTGTACTCTACAGAAACCTGGCCCACATAGCTCTTGAATCAAGATAACAAATAATGTACTAGACGACGGATGGCCCGAGAGCGTAGAGGAGCAGGGTCTTCTCTCGTTAGTATGGAGACGCAATTTTAGAAACGATATATGAAAGCTGTGTTATAGGCAGTCGAGAAGAGGAGTATCAAGACAAAATAGCGAGAAGTGCAAGACAATAGTTTGCATCGCAAACACTTTTACACACAGACGCTTTTACACAGACGCTTTTACACACAAAGCTTTTACCCACAGAAGCTTTTCCACACAGAAGCTTTTACATACAGAAGCTTTTACACACAGAAGCTTTTACATACAGAAGCTTTTACACACAGACGCTTCTACACAGACACTTTTACACACAGAAGCCTTTACACACAGACACTTTTACACACAGACCCTTTTACACACAGGAGCTGCTTTTACACACAAACGTTTGTACACACAGAAGCTTTTACACATAGACGCTTTTACACACAGGCACTTGTACACACAAACACTTTTACACACAAACGCTTTTACACACAGACGCTTTTACACGCAGACGCTTTTACACACAGAAGTTTCTACACACAAACGCTTTTACACACAGACGGTTTTACATACAAACACTTTTACGCAGAAACACTTTTACACACAGACGCTTTTACACACAGACGGTTTTACACACAAGCGCTTTTACACACATCGATAACAAACATGCCAAACAATCAATGGGGCAAGAAATCAAAACATGTAAGCCAGGCCTGAAACATGACAGGGGTGACCGGAAAATAAGCATGCGAAACCATAAACAAGTCAAGCAAACATGCACACGAACATGTCTGCGCGAAAGAAGATATGGACATGCTTGCGGTCATGTTTGCTCGGACAGTTCACACACACCATTTTACACAGAGACGCTTTAAGACACAAACCCTTTTACACACAGACACTTTTACACACAAAAGCTTTTACACACAGACACTTCTACACAGATGCACTTCTACACACAAACACTTTTACACACAAACATCTTTACACAGAAACACTCTTACACACAAACCCTTTTACACAGATACACTTTTACACACAAAAGCGTTGACACACAAATACTTTTACACAGATGCACTTGTACACACGAACACTTTTACACGCAAACATCTTTACACCAAAACACTCCGACACACAAACACGTTTACACACAAACACTTCTACACACAGAAGCTTTTACACACAAACACGTTTAAACAGATGCAATTTTACATACAATCACTTTTACACACAAACATCTTTACACAGAAACACTCGTACACACAAACCCGTTTAAACACAAAGACTTTCACACACAGAAGGTTTTACACACAACACTTTTACACAGATGCACTTGTACACACAAACACTTTTACACACAAACATCTTT